GGAAAATCCGCTAAAAAATGTAGCGACACTGAAACGGCGCAGGAACTCTTTATAGAAGCAATTAATCGCGACCAGCTCTTTCACTGTCCTCATGTATTTAAGCGTCAGCAAAAGTACGCGTTACTTTTTCGCTATTAATCCCGGAGCCAATCCTTTTGCTCGACAATTTCCTGCCTGTGCGGCGCGACGCTGCGACGCGACGTTCTCCGAGCGCGTTCACTAGCCATTGTCGCTAATCGTTTTGTAAATCTGGCGAGCTCGTAGTTCCTATCTAAAGTCAATCGTAAAATATTTGCTCTCGCACATTTCCGCCCACGGACAAACGGCCGGCAAATATTTGACAGTCGATTGTTGCCGCCGCGAAATTCGATCCGCCTAATTCCGACTTTTTAGCAGTGAACTCGCGCGTCGCAACCTCCTTCCTTTCTATCTCAGCCCTTCGTGTTTAAATTGGCGAATTATGCCAATTCTGGACTGTTGAAGCATAGAGTTCTAAAGATGACGAGAGGAAACGTGAGAGTACCTCGATTTTGCCAAAAATTGAATCCACATAGCGCGCTGTCGCGATTGAATACGCCTCGTTCTTGCAATCGAATTGCAATTATCTGTCAAGACAACCGAAATTTAAGCACAGCTCGTGTGCCAAATCTCGATTAACATTCATATGAAAAATACACAAAGATTACGGCTAACCGTTTCCCTTTATGAAAAGCACTTGATAATCACTTTATAACCAATCAATCGTCAGCTGATCGACCGATTACCGCGACGCGCACTATTCAAAAGTGTCCCAACGGTGCAACAGCTTTTGCTCAAGAGCAATCTAATCGGGTAATCATGCGTGACTCGAAAGCTTGCGCTTGATTAGTTGGCCTTATTAGCCAATTCTCATAATTAGGTAGGAAATTACGAGAATATACAACGCGCGGAGTAATCCCGCTGCAAACGCGTACGCGCGCGCGCATACATAATTTCTGTCGCGCACGGCGATGGCGCCCGATGGGCTGTAATTAGATATTAATCGATTGCGCGAATTATCATAATGAGTTTGCTGCGGGTTCCGATGCTCTCGTGTTTTGTGTCTAAATAAGCGCGCCGGTTTTTCCAGGCCTGTGTACGTCGGGACGATAGGTAGCGCGATAGCGTTGTGTGAAACCGCGCGCGCCTCGGTTATTGCGGCACACGCACCTCGCTGGCCGCTTTATGTATCAACAATTAACCCTTTTGCTGCTACTACGGATACGCGTATTGCCTTTCGCCCTTTGGGCTTGCGCCCACGAGCTACGAGCTAGGAGCTACGAATTAGTACAGTCACGAATACGTATAGTAAACGGTTGACAACGGCGTTTTATGGAGGCAGAGCGGTGCATTAATGTCGCGTCGAATTTTGCACAATAACGTAGAATATCCCATGTCGCGTTTTGCGCAATAACGCGGAATATCCCACGCGCATCTCGATTACACCATACACGCTTTTAATATCAAGTCGGATAAATTTAAGGTAATAGTATTAATTCTAGAACACTTTTATCGAGTTGCGATTTCACTACACAGTGAATATATGAAAGCCGCTTTCAACTATTAATGTTTTCTCGAAAAGTGAATATTTTTCAACATCTCTTTTTTTCAATTTGAATGCCAAAATGTCAGGGACACGCCTATATCATTAATCACAATTGAGGTTTTATAAAGAAAAGTAATTTTGCGAGAAGACCAAATAGAAATTTCCTCAATCACGAAAAAGCTGTTTTCTTGAAAAATTTGGTTTGTTTTAATACAGGATTGTATAAAATCAATTATTACTTATTAAAGGTAAAGAATAATTTTTCGGAAAAAATATGAAACATGTATTTAAGAAAAATATATTATTTTAACATGAGAATTATAACGTCAAAATTTTGATTTCAATTTTGGTGTTCCTACATCTGCTAAATAGCAAATTGGTCTGCGCAGCATAGACAGTTGTAGAAGAAAAACAGAAGTTTTGTATCCTCTAATCTATGTCTTTCACGATATAGAAACGGTAGAAGTTTCAACAAAAGCATAGGTGTGGCACACCCAAGTGTGGTGTTCTAGAATTGAAAAGATATCAAGATTTCTTCATTAAATAAATAGATAAATTAATTAATTACTTTCGGGAAATCTCGCGAAAAATTCTCACTTCTGTATGTGATCTCTTTTTTTTTATTCTTTTTATTAAATAACAATGAGCGTGAGTATAGCATGATAGATAGTGCACTGGTCTTATCATGCTCAGGTTCGATTCCCGGCAGAACCGAGAAATTTTATACGCTCGCGTCTCCTCTCGGAAGGCAATGGCAAACCACCGAGAGTTACCTTGCTCAGGAAAACCTCTCAAAAAATCAATAATAACATCACCTGCCGCTCGGAACCGGCGTTAAACTGTAGGTCCCATGTGCCTGTTGTGTACAATCAGCGTGCGCACCACAAGAATATGAGAAAGGTCGCCTACGCGCTGATAAGTGTTATGGCACGCAAAAAAGATTAAATAACAATGTGCAATTTCTCGGTAATAAGATTTCCTATTATATTTCCTGGGGAAGAGAGAAGTAAAAGTAGGTCCGTTTAATCGTCATGTTCTCGTTATATCTGATTACATTTTGAAATATGGCTCGTAAAAAATATTTACTTTAGATTGGTTGCGTTACTCGGCGATTCGATTAGAACGAGAGCCGCGGGTCTTCTCTTTCCACTCCATCTCATTCCGTCTCTTCGAGGTAGCGTTCGAGGATATGTGAGGCACTCGGCTTTTAAATATGTGAGATTCGCCGCATTTTGGCGGATTTACGAGTCGGACTTCGCGGAGTTTCGTGCACCAGCCTCGCTTAATCCGTACAATATCTTTGTGTTATATAACGCGCCTTTGTCTGCTCCTTTGTTTTATCATCGCTGCGTGCTCCGCGGAAATACTTTCGCGACTACCGACCGACTTCTCTTTTTCTTCTTTTTAATCGCGAAGAACACTTATATATATATATATATATATATATATATATATATATATATATATATATATATATATATATATATAT